TTGCTGAATTGAGTTTATACGTGTCTTTCCAAACCCCCTCAGTATAAACACTTAATATAAGGCTGAAGAACTGCTTCTCTCTCTCTCTCTCTCGCTCTCTCGCTCTTGCTCGCTCTCTCGCTCTCTCGCTCTGCCTTTTCGGAAATGGATTCTGCTGACCAGTGCTTGGTTTTTTGGAGTCTGGCCGTGTGTGCCAACCTGAGGACAGTTTTAGTGGAGCTAGTCCTGGCCCACTGCTCTGTTTAGACAGGAGCTGAAGTGCTAAGTGGACAGGATGCTAGCACACACACCAGTCCGGGGCATGCGCTTTTGCCTACGGCATTGAAAATGTCTAAAAATCGCAAAAACACCGTGTCCCGGACGTTGGAGAAAAGGAAAAAATACTGTCAGTCCGCCTTAGGATATCAGAGCTGAATAGCGGAGGTTTCTCCTGCTCTGCGTGCATGTTTATCTTGTTTAGGGCGAAGCTAGGAAGCCAGCAACATGTGGGAGCAGACTTCAGCTCCATTACAGCGTGCGTCTCTGCAGGATGGAGCCGCAGCCATGCTTCCAACAGCCTGTAAAAACATGGAGTGTTTGCAGTCTCCTGTGGCGAGAGAGAAAGTTTCAGTATCTGGGCTCAGATCATGGAGCAGGGACAGATGATGATTGACCTGGATTAGACAGTGTGAGTGAGCGTGCTGGGCCTGTGTGGGTGTTTTCAGGCATTTTCAGGACAAAAATGTCCTGAAAACGCAAAAAGATCTGTTTCATGGTTGCTGAGGTTTAGGTTTAGGTTTAGGCTTATAAAATTCTGATTACATACAGACACATACATAATACACGAGAGGTATTATTACATATAGAATGAAGCTTTATTGACTTTAGCAGATTGGCTATGAAAAATAAAATGGCAAAAAACCTACAAGAACACATACAAGCTTCCAATATACCATTTGAAAGTTGAGTTGAAAAACAGATTTATCAGTAAATAACTTTAGAGGAATCGCACAAGAATTCACACAAGGATTTAAAGAATTCTTCCTACCTAATTGAATATTTTTCCTCCTGAAAGACTCTGATAGTCGTCTTTATGGTTTATGTGTTTTTTTTTGTTTTTTTTTCTCCTGCCATATTTACAATCTTGGACAGTTTAATCTTATTATTAGCCCCAAAAATGCTGTTTAAGTGGATATATTTTATTTCAAAATGCTCAAGAAGACTCAGGTACGCCACTTAAGGTGTCTCTGTGTCTCTTGTGTGGCCTTTTTTTATAGATGTAGTCATACTGTTCTCAAGGAAGGTACTCAAATACTTAAATTCGTCCGGAATTTCAGTCGACTGAATGTTCACATTTACCTTCTTTGTGCAAATTGAGATGTTTTTACCAGTGAATACTCCTAAATCTCCTTGCTTTTGCTAGTATTTATAATAAGAGCATGGTCCGAACATGGAGTTATTCATCAGTCTGGTTGAAGTATGCAGCCTCCCCTTCTTGAAATAAACCAACCAAGGCCATGTTGCCTGCGTCCTTATAAGCACAGATACTTAAATACATCTAATGCATACGGAACATTTTATTACATATAAGTACTTAAGTCCAGTCTTTGTGTAAAACAATGCCCTGAGTCTGTCTCTTGCACTGCAGACGTTCAGTTTAGAGGGGTGACTTGTTTGAATGAAGCCTTGTAGCCTGTAGCATGGGTCTCTCTCTCTCTCCCTCTCTCCCTCTCTCTCCTTGCCATTGAGCTCTGATGTCAACCCTAAGAATTTCCTCCCTTTTGGATGGGAATGAGGGGCCCACACTGCTCTTGCTCTCTCTTTCTACCCCCCTTTCTGTTGGCCCCCCAGCTGTCAGGAAACAATACCCTGTGCCTGCTCCGACAAAACTCATTCCTGAAAATGTTTTTCTTCTCCCTCCCCCCTCCTCCTTTACCGTCCCTCTCTGTCTGCTCTTCCCTTTGCACTGTAATGTCTTTTCCATTTTTAAACTCGTGGCCATGTAAACTTCCTTCCTCTGTGTCCAGCGTTAGACTGGACAGAGTGCCAGACAGGTCCGGAGTGGAGTTGACCCCTTCCTAATAAACCCAATTCAGCAGACCTCGGTGACCTCGCTCACGCTTATTTGCTCCGATGAAGCCCACACACATTCATATGAAAAGATTCAGTCTGTCACTTGTGAATAACACTTTATTACATTTACATTTAAGATGTTTTTGTTGGCAGAAAAAAAAATACATTTTACCATGACTTGGCCCTGTTCATGTTTTATTTGATTGTAGTTTCTCGATTGAAGTCCCTTGACTGTGAATGGCCTCGAGGAACATCAGCTTTCAATTCATGATAGAGCACCAGAAAACGGCCCGGGTTGTGAAAAAGGACTTTCTAAAGAACCATGATACATTGTCTCGGGAATCGAGTCTTCTGAAGAAGAAGCTCCGTTTTCAGTTATTACTTTGTGTTTATGAGTGCGTGTGTACATTCTGGACCGGGACTGACTTTTTGAACAGAGAACATAGTGAGGTTTATCAGACCTTCAGTGGCTGATGTGAAAAATCTAGTACTATCAACCGCCTACCCTTCAAAACATGCATATCGTCTCTGTTAGAAGGAAACTCTGTATTTTGTGCCTTTATATATTTTTCATTCTTCTGTAAAATTACTATTTTGGAGGGTCAAAGTTTTGGGCCGACAGCGACCGTATACAAATGTAGAGAAATGAGTTTACCAGGCCTGCTCAGTAGCGTTCAGCACAGCCTGAAGCAGAAGAGAAATCGCAATACATTATCTTGATAAATTGCATCACAATATTGACGTAAAATGTTTCTGAGTCTGTTGTGGGTATCATCAGCTCTTCTAGAACACTGGACTACTGCATGTATCATAAAGAGCCTGTGAACAACCAGCGTATAGTAACTGCATAGAAACAAGTAGCTTATTGGTCAACTCTCTGTGCCTTTATTAAAAAGATAAAGGCATAGAGAGTTGACCTGTAAGCTACTTGTTTCTATGCAGTTACTATACACTGGTTGTATCACAAATTTTTTTTTGACCCCTTCCCTGCTCCTGTTCTTTTTTACAATACATAAAATTCCTACTGGTGCATTTTGTCCGCTCCAATTTGTTTGCACACATCATAAAAAAACTAAATACGGCGATATTCATGTATAGTGAATATATTATGTTATGATTTTACCATACTGCCCACCCTTAGCCCGCAGTAATCCAGTTCCGAGGCCAGGCTGGAATATATGGGGGGGCTCCCACACAACAGCTTTTCATTAGTTTTAAATCTGGGGAGCAGCGCGGAGAAAATGTCTGCGCACATGAAAATCTGCTGTATCCGGCCGTTAAACTGATCCGCAAACCAGATGTTCGAGCTGAGCCCCAGAGCCGCTGCTCCGGAGAGGCCGCGTCCACCACGGCCCAGAGAGGAAATGGGGGGAGATCTCCCCCTCTCTCAGGGGGCTTTAGCCGATCAGTCCGCTTGTCAGAAAAGTTCTGGAGATCTGGACACCTGGCAGGCCACACAAAAGAGGGCGGTAATGCCGAAAATGATGAGTGATGCAGCGATTCGATGTACTGGATCAGTATCACCACTGATACCTCGTGAAATGGATCGGATATTGGTTGGATGTCGTCGATCCACTGCAGTAGTTTCTTAGTCATGGTCGTTATAAAACTATAACAATTTTATACTCATTCTAGAGCCAGGCTGCCAAAATTAGCCTTTGAGGACCTGCCAGAAAGTTACCTAGTCACTCATCTAGTGAGAACAAGCATAATTTTATGTTTTCAGTATAGTTTATTAAATTATTTTTGCTTCAATTTTGCATTTTCAAGTGTTGTTTGGAACAAAGTATAATACAATAATACATTTTTAAACCTGTTTTAAACTCTGCTTACCTTCATTATTTGTATGTTATTGTCTTCTGGCTCAAAAAGTTTGGGCACCACTGTTTTAAAGCAAAAATATGCACAATCTTACAAAGCTTGGAACTGTTGTCATGAACTACCTCCTACTGTATATTTATGTTTGCTGCTATAAAAATTAAGCGAAAGTATCACATTGGTGCTTTATATCAGCAGATATCAGAATTGGTGTGAAAAAAGTTGAATCAGTGCATCCCTGATGATGATGATGATGATGATGATGATGGTGGTGGTGATGAAAAATGTAAGATGCTCTGAGGTTAAACAGTGCCACAGGGGATGGGTCAAAAGGTCAGCGCTATTCACCAGGGCATCATCGTTTTGGGCTGAGCTTTTACCACAGTACTGCTTTCCCAGCGCTCTCTGTGGGACGTCCTTCCAGCTGTCTCTCTCTCTCTCTCACACACACACGCACACACGCACGCACTCTGTCTTTCTCTCCCTCGATGGGATCCCACAGCTGGGCTCTTGTAGGAACACATTCCCCGACAAACGCCGATTTCACACTCCACTCTCTCCATTCCTCATGCTCACTGGTGCTGACACACACACACACACACAGACACAGGTGTCTGTAACTGCTCTCCGTTGACCATAGGCTCGTTATTTACGAGGCTTCCCCTCCTTTTGCTGGTGGGTAGAGCATTCCATCGCATCTGCACACATTGCGATGAGTATGTGTCATTTTCTTATTTCATGTTAGTCATCGTTATACCCGCACACGCACGTAGACATGACTCCGTTTGATATGGCGTCGTGAGTTCTGCACTTGCCGTTAGAGGGAGGGCACTTGTTGCACCTGTTGCATGCAGACTCTTCTGTGCTGTTGGAGGAAAAAGCGCAGTTACACCTGACACACTGTGTGGATTTGGTGGGAAGAAAAAACGATGCACTGATACTTATGATGCTGACAAATTACTTTAGTCTTACGTAAAAATAAAATGTTATATTGCTTGTTATATGTATGATGATGTCAGTATATTCCAAATATAAATACAATATTTTGTAATGTATTTTCAGTACATGCCTGTTATTATATGGTATTATAAAGTGAATGTCTCATCTTCATTCTGTTTTTTGTCCCACAGTATCTGCAGATGAAATGGCCCCTGTTGGACGTGCCCAGCTCCGCAGCCCTGAAGGACTCCAGATCACCCACACCAGGACACTTGGTAAGAACACACACTCTCATTCACACACCTTTTGCTGTCTATGTTCTCATTCTTCATTTGTCTCATTGGTTGAACCTAGTCTGACCCAAGAGCAGGTTTAAAAAGCTGTGGTTTTCAGGTATTTCACTGGCCACTCAGGCCATCCAGCCAGTGAATCTTGCATTTACAAGTGTGCTTTATTACCAGAAATAGTCCGTTGTTGCTTTGAACAAGGAAATATTTACATTATTAAATTTTACAGTAAGAACATTGTCATTGTGGTCCTCTCTGCTGATCTGGTCGATCCTCATGTTATCTGATCTAGATTATGTCGTTAGGTGCTGTTCAGTTACTCATCTCTTGTTGGAGCACCAGCTTATTTAACATCTTATTTTATTGAAGACCTTATTTCACAGAGTGATGTTGTTAAACGTGAGCCAATGGACGAGCGTCTATGATTGCTTGGTAGAAGGGACCACCAGACCATTACATTAGCTATCGCAGTGGTTACAAGAGATTCAATTTGTTAAAAGAAAAAGAAGATGCAAAAAAATCTCGAAGACAGATGGACAAGTGCATTTTCAGTGGCCAAAATGTGAAATATTGTGCTCAGGTGCACCTGACAGTAGGCAGTGTCTGCCTCTGAAAAGCTATAGGGGTTACCAAGTTCATTGATAACAAAAATCAGACATTTCTCTGCAGTCCTCTTAACAGGCTGTACACTAATTGCTAAGATTCTTGTGATATGATGTTATTGACTGCTGATCTTTTGATAAACATGACAGAATCTTTTTAGGGGAATTGAATCTGTTTGCTCAGGACAGCGAAGTATTTTTGTGTATTGCAAAAAGCTTTGTGATTTTGGAGGATGAAGTTGAAGGCCTCAAGATGTATCACTTGTCATAAATTTGAATTTGAGTGGTCTTAGGATCAGTACAGTTTGTCTTCACATCACACCTTCACTAATGTGGGGTTTAACTAATGTTACCTGGTGCTGGACTAGCATATACAGAGACACGTCCATACTGCTGTTGTCAGAACAAAACCTTGTATCTCCATTTTTCAGTTTTTGACATAATTTGAAATACCTGTCACCCTTTATATTAATATATTTTTTTATAATATAATTTCATAATGAATGGACCAAAAGAAATGTCCCAAAATGACCAAAAAATTCTGGTTCCATTGACCTGCATTAAAAGTAAGGTATGTTTTTTTCCTTCTTCTGTAAAGTTTTCCTTTTGGAAATACAAGGTTTTGTTCCGACAACAGCGATATGAGCGAGTTACTTCGGAACAGAGGTAGGCTTATTGTTACTGTGATAACTTACGACACTGTCCTTTTCTGAGCGTGCTGTGGACATCCTCAGTACTTCTGTGTGTCACATATTTCCCACCCCTGCTCTGACACATTTGAATTGGCATTAAAAGGGCCTACGCCTACACCTCTACGACAGTGTGAAGTTGATAAAGTCTATCTAGGTTGTGCCAAAAGTCATGGGAGTTGTCTCTCTGTCTCCTCAGAAGAACTGGTCGCTGTGTTTTTTGCTATGTCTTGGTAGAAACCTGATAAATCTGATAGTGACACACCACCGTAAAAGTTGAAGGGATGGGCTCTTCATTCGAATTCTCAGAGTCTTCACTCGAATGCTCCACCCAGCCAATCGTGTGATGTGTATGAGGGTTGTAGGTGGCCTGTATGACTGAGTGGTCAGGCTGGTTTGTAGATGATGGCAGTCAGAGATAAACCATCAGCCGGTGCTTATCGATAACTCTCTGGTATGATAAACTATCAGCCTGAGAGATGGCAAATACCATTAAAGTACTAAATTCCAGACCAAGTGTTGCGTGTATGTGTTACGCTGTCGCTGTGGTACGTGTGTCATGTGAAGTCATATCTAAGCCTTTAAAGGTTCATATTTATTAAGAGTGGATTTTACTGTTTTGGTCGGCTTATTTCATCTCTAAAAGGCATATGTTTAGGAAAAACTCTTTCTTACTTTTTTCCTCTTTTTTTCCTCTTAATTTTTAGTTTTTCTCATAATCTTTTCTATTTTTTTCCTCTCATCTTTTCTTTCTCTATTGCTCTTGCTACTTTTTTTGGTCTTTCAATATTTCTCACATACTTTTTCTTTTGTCTCTTTCTCTCATCTTTCATTTACTCTTTCTTTCTCTCCTTCCTTTGTTTCTCTTGCTCTTTTTTGTTCTTCTTTCTTTTTGCTGCACCTTGCTCTCCCATGTTTTTCTTATTCTGTGCTATTTTTTCTTTAGGTCTTTTCCTTTTCTACCACACCCCCCCGCCCCCCTCATCACAAAGCCGATTCCAACTTATTTTATATCAGCAACTGCTGACCCTCTTTAACCTCCAGGCCACACCATGCGATCGTCTCTGAAGACACTGCTGGCTTTGTTTGGCCTTGCAGTCCTGCCACTGCAGTTTTATTGTATTTACTTAATATATAACCTTATAAAGTGCATGCCCGCGCATTACAAGCGCAGGAGAAAATGCGACCACGCAGGCGACTAATGGCAATCAAGTTAGACGCAGATGAATGGCGTGTATTGAGGGTTTGATGCGGAGGTCGTGGGTTTGTTCCTCCCCTCTCTCGGCCCCTCTGTCCGTTCCCGTAAAACGTAGACAGGGCTCCTTTCACCGCGTTGAGGGGAGGAGGGGGATTTGTACCATTTGCTTTAGCCTTGGTGTCAGCAGAAAGGCTGTCTGAATTCAGCACCTGATCGCCAGCACTGCTCCTACTGATCTAGAATCAGTTTCCCACCTAGGCCAGAAGCCATGATTAGTTGGGAATCTGCAAGATGATTGGTGTTTTAAATTCTGCTCCTCAGTTTTTTCTTTAAAATCTTTTTCACATGTTTGAAAAGCTGTGTGTGGTTTGTGTTTGCAATTTTTGTTGTTTGGCTTTTTTTAAAAGGTAAATAGATTTTTTTAATTAGCCATCAGATTACTTGATTACTAACATAATCAGTAGTGACCGCCCAAATCTAAATATGTTAATATTAAAAAAAAAAACAAACAAAAAAAAACAGACACTTTTTTACCAAGGGCTTGATCACTAGAACGCAGAGAGAAGGACTCAAGAGAAAAAGGGAGGTGCTGCTGAGAGGAAGCTGCTGGCTGCTTCTTCAGGCCTTTTGGCCTGGCTCAGCTTTAATGAGAGGTGGACACACACACACACACACACACACACACACACACAGGACGTCAGGATGGCAGGAATCACATGGGACGTGAGACATGACCACAGGGGCACACCGGGGTTATTCATTCAAAATAGTCGCATTACCTATTCAGCCAATGATATGGATTGCATTAGGAAGGATGTTGAATATTTATGAGCTCAGTGTAAACAGATTTTATTGGTGCAAATGCACAAGTTTGAACAAGATGGTAATTGAAATAGCTGTTTCATCTCTGTGCTGAATTGCATTTTGTTGTTATTAAGTCTGATTTAACTAGCGATTAAATCTCTTATTAGTTTATTTATGTGCATGTACATGAACACAGGCAGATGCATTGAGATTGGCCCGTCTATCAGATTGGGCCCATAAGGTCTGTATGCTAATGAGTTTTTCTGCTCAGTCCGAGATGCTCAATAATTCAGTAGACAGGTTTGCTTAGTATTCTGCTGCTCAGAGGTACCGTGTGTGTGTGTGTGTGTGTGTGTGTGTGTGTGTGTGTGTGTGTGTATACACTAAAGATATCTGGGGGGGAAGAGAGAAGCTAGCTTGCCTATCCATCCCTTTTCTGTGTTTTCACTCTTTTTCTCCCCTGTCGTGTTCCTCTCACTGTGGCCTATTGTGTTTTAAGGATGTAATGCTGCATTTTGACACTGTGATCTTGCAGTGCAAAGATCCGACAGTGCATACTGGAAAATGGACATTCCAGAGTTTACAAAACACAGCACTAATCATCGACTCCAGCATGTTCATTAGTAAGGTGGCTGACACGAGTACAGTCATCACTTTTCTTTATTTCACTTTTTCTTTCTTTATTTTTTATGTTGTTAAAAATATCATAAGAATAGAGTATAAAGATTGAAGTAGTCATGGGTCCAGTTTAAGGTTACACCCTTGCTGTTCATGATGTGATGTTCACATTAAAGACCTATGATAAATGTAGTGTCCATGAAGTAGCTGTTCCAAAACATGCCCAACATCAGTAGCATAACTGTTGATCTTTTGCTTTTGCATTGTTATTGCTTGTCCTCTTTACCACTCCGTAATGTTTTGTAAGGGAAGATGAATGTCAGTGTTATATGATAAATTACGTCACAACGCGCATTTCATGGATGTTGCCTCTACCTCTCGAGCACTGAAGAGCTGATCACATTCACATCGACTGTCACTCCATTATGATATTTCATATTATATTCATTTGTATATATTATTTTAAAAATGTGTTAAATTTTTAATTTTTTCTCTTTTCCTTTTTTTCAAATTTTGAATTGAAAGTTCTGTTTTTTTACAGCCTTTTTGAATGTGGCGCTATTGTTTTGTACTATTTTACATTTTGTCCATTCAAAAGTGGATTCACATATATTGTGAGATCTGTGCTTTGTGAAAATGCCTTCAAGTTTTAGGATGTTATTACTGCTCTATTGCCCACCCTTAACAGGCTTTGCTGTTTCTTGGGTCTTCACAGTGGATGCTATGTGTTTAAGTCTATGGGAATGTTTCTCTTTATCAAATTAGGATGCTTCTGTGTGACATCTATGGGTCAACATAAGCTCCTCAGTTTCTGTCTGTTTTTCTCCTAATGCGTGCGTCTGTGTGTGTGTGTGTGTGTGTGTGTGTGTGTGTGTGTGTGTGTGTGTGTGTCTCGGGCTAATGAAGATAGGAGACTGAGGTCATGGCTGTTGCTTTTGTTTCCTCGCAGAGATTAAGATGGTGTGAGGCTTTGTTAGCGATGGAGTTTGAATACCATACACATGACCCACTGCTGACTGCACTGAGCTCAATAATGTCATTATTATTGATCGTTATTGTCTCTGACATGGGAAAAGGAGACTACAGGTTTTGGATTGTGAGATTTTCCTCTCTTACACTCAAAGCCCAATTCTAACGTTTCTGAAAGACCTTTCTGACCACTAACTGCATTAGAGTGTGTGTGTGTGTGTGTGTGTGTGTGTGTGTGTGTGTGTGTGTGCTGTCTAGAGCTTGAGATTTTTGTCTGCACCCAGCGGGACCTGAATATATGTTCGGGTTCTCAAAGCCCACCCCCTGCTTTTAAAAGATTTTACCCTCCATTTCCCCCTGCTTTAGTTTTTTTCTCTTACTTTATTCTTCCTCTCTATTTTCATTACCTTTTAAACTGTTTGTGGAATTACATACCTGTGTTACTGACACAATTTAGCACCGAGGCTAACAAGGCCCATACCTGTTAAAAGTATAGATTAGTCCAACCAAATGGACGTTTACATTTATTTGGCTACAGTATTGTTATTTTTATATGTTCAGTGTATTATATGTAATGTTCTTCATAAAGAAATAGGGTTTTAGGATTAAACCACTGTAGGCTGCTCTTGCTGCATGAATAGTGCATTATGGAAGGTTTTTTCAGACTAATAGCCCTTACAGTGTTCTTTGAAAGTGTTGCTGTATTAATATATTTGTTAAAGTGGAATGTGTACTTAATTTTGGACAGATCGTTATTTTCTAATATAACTTTTTACTCATTTATGATGTAATAACTGCTATTATAGTAACTTTATTAGAGTAACTACTATTTAGTAACTATATTATAGTAACTTATATATCTAAAGGTTTTAATCATCACTTTTGGTAATGATGGGCCAGTTTGGGTTACTTTTGACCAGAATTTTGTTGAGCTTGTCAGTTTTGTGGTGGTTCGAGTTGGGTCTGGTTCAGACAGAATATTGTCAGGCTTAGTTCAGGTGAATTTCTGGCCCAATTTAAGCTCTAGTGTTGTCCCTTCTGGAATCTTTTTTTTTTTCCTTTTCTAGTTTGCACTCTCCTTTCCTTGTACTCTCTTTGGGTCTACTTCAGTCCACAGACATGTCACCAGCCAGATTAATCAGTGTGCGTTTGTCTGTTTTGTGTGTGTGTCCATGTCCGTTTGCGCTCATTCCGAATGCTGATGTCATGGTCAGGCCACTCTGACATCCACTTCCTGCGTGGCTGACAAACAAAGCTGTGCTATCCCGGCATGCCGTGCGCTCTCTCTTTCTCTTCCATTTCTTGTCTCCTTTCTCCTCCAGAGTTTGTGAAAGGGCCGAGAACCTCCCACCTAGCAAATGAATACAAAGCGTACACACACACACACACACACACATACACACAGAGTGAGCAGCCCTCCACACGCTCTAAACTGAGAGTTTGGTTGGTGAGTCTGGTACCCAGAGGCTGTTTGCCTAGTAATTCATTTCAGATGTGGACTATTCCGAGCCACGTTTGGCTGAAAGTAACCCTCGCACTTCATCACTGGCTGTTCTGTCCTGCTCCACGCTTGACGGCCAGCTGTAGGGCATCCACTTCAGGCTGGTCCAGCAAAAAGACCCCTTAGGCAGCCGCGGAATCTGTTCCCTGCAACCTTCCAGCACCGTGGAATAGAGTTGCACAATGTATCGTTTGTTAGTTGTTATTATTTTTGCATAATCTGTCATAATTAATACATAATAGCCTGATTAATCGTTTAGCTGGCCGCAGTTATCATGTTTAGGTTACAGCAAACAGAAAGGTGCATTTTGATCCATTGGGTTGAGGCAAAGGCATGTAAATAAGAAACATGTTGTGGGTCTTAGCAGAAGTTTAAATTTCTGACTGGTGCTAAAAACTCCTCTAGAAGGCAGAGATGAGTAATGATCGTTCATTTAAGAGCTGCTAAATATCAACACCTAAGAAGAGAGACAGGTAATTGGCCAGTTTGGCCACTTCAGGCTTGCACTTTAATAGTTGCAAACAAAAAAGACCAATTTAATCATAGTTATTTAAATAGTAATGAATTGTCATCGTGACAGGCCTAGTTATCACAATATTGGCCTCTGCAGTGATATCTCAGAAGGCTGCAGTAGAAAATGAGCCCTCTAGCAATTTGCAAGGCATTTTACTGTGTTCTAAGCATCCTGGCCATCACAGTTTAGATGAGTTTGTGTGGGTGCTTTGTAACATGTTCGTATAATCCAACGAAAGTAAATGCCTTTGGTTAAAATAATGCAGACCAGTCTTTCACTAGTACTAGTGTTTCTTCCGTATCGTCCAGCCCGACTGCAGAGAGGAGTGTTTTGGGTTTGGCTTTGTTTTACTCTCTTGAGTACGCTTCAGTGTTCTGTCCCCCATGTGTTAAGAAGCCATCAGATAGGCCTTCTGAAGCACATCCAGCTTGGCAGAGCGGCTCTGGACACTGTTCACACTTTGTTAGCTGGCCTTAAAGGCATGCAAGAGGTCCAATGTTCCACGCTCCTCTGAGCCACACTAGACTGCCCCCTGTTGACAGAGCAGGAACAGACATATGAGGTGGGCGTGGACTGTCCCTCAGAAGGCCCTGATTTCACTGGTAATACTTTCACAGGTGTTTTCTTCAAGTGTAGCTTCAGATGGTGTATTGTATACAGAAACCAAGCATAAAGCTCTGGTTGTAGAAAGTTCAAGATATCTCCAGGTTAGGAAGAGCCAGGCATTAGACAGATGTAAAAAATTGGCCATTTGGACCACCAAGCCAATGAATCTCATGGCCAAATTAAGAATTTGTTATCAAAATGATAGAAACCTGTTCATTGTAATTGCAATTAAAAGACATGCTTTAATACAAAAAAGATGTTCTTTGCTTCTTCACATTTTTTTCCAATTATACCAGTGAAACGAGGACCATGCATTTGATTTATTATTATTATTATTATTATTATTATTATTATTACTACTATTATGTATTCATTTTTATTATTCATTTATTTTTAAGCTACCAGATCTCTTGCGGGAGAGTAAAAGTAGTTTTGTAATTAATGCTGAGTATTTGTGAATGTGTCACAATTTAGCTGGTTTGGTGGTTAGTTAAAGTGGAAAAACACAAAAATCCCCAAGGCAAGCGGCTACTTATGTCCAGGGTCTGCATTTTTAACAGCTGAAATGTGTAATTATGTGGCCAGAGGCACCGAGCAGTGAGCAGTGTTTACCCCTGGGTAGAGCTTCTGTTAATCAAACTAACTTCATGAGTAGCAGGAAAGAGTACATAGTGTGTTTTCTGTTTCTTAGCCTGTCATTCTCTTCTGTATTGTGCAATCTCCAACATGTTGGTATACTTTGTTTCAGTTACTACACTGGGGCTTGGCTGAGTGTTTGATGATGGGTGTGAGCTTGTTTGGCACCAACTTAGACTCTCAATGTTCTGTGGGGCTGGGCCAGATTGCGTCATGGGGTCCTGTGTCTCTCACACACACAGAAGTTGTGCTGCTGTTTATCTGAGATTGTGTGCCACTCGCACACGCTCACAAACAGGCGTTTGCTTTTTATACTGCTGATTTGGAACACGACAGAGTTTTAACCGTTTTTCAACATCTATATTACTGTCGTGTACAGCTGAATGATTTGGGGAAAGTATCTAATCAATTTTTCTGACCAGTATTGTGACTGCGATTTGTGGTTATTTTCTGTAAATTAAAGTCCAGGCCTGGTGTTTTGGCAGTGAACACCATCATATCCGTTTCTAAGCCCTCGCTTGAGGCTTGAGTGCTGAATGTAGTGTGCCAGACTGCCAGTTAATGGTTGTGTTGTCATGTACACAGTACAAGGGTGTTTAATTGCTTCTCATTGGTCTAAATCATCTACAGGTGGTCCACAAGCTCAGTGTTATTAGGTTAAATGTCCCCACTTAAAACTGAAGACAGTGTTGTTGATAATGTAGGCTGTAATTAAGACTGCAGCCGTTCCGATTTGAAACCTGCACTGTTTCAAATTGCAATTCCATTATAAAGATATGTAACAGTAATACATGGTATGACGTATCACTGGAAGCATTTTAGTTAATGGTTACTGTATTTCTTGGGGCTAACACATTAGCTGGTGGCTGGAGTGTTGGATCGAGACAATATAAATCACAGCTTTTGTTTCAGATACAATGTTGAAAGCTTCCAGAAACTGGGAATGTTATTGCATTAATGTATTAACATTAACATGAGGCACATTATTAGGCAGTCCTTATTATTACTGTATTGAAAAATGTATTGAGTTGAGACACTTCTTGTTAAATACCTCTCTCTCTCTCTCTCTCTCTCTCTCTCTCTCTCTCTCTCTCTCTCTCTCTCTCTCAGTCTAATAAGGTTCCAGTGGTGCAGCATGCTCACATGCACCCTCTGACCCCCCTCATCACCTACAGTAATGATCACTTTTCCCCAACTACTCCGCCTGCACATCTCTCCCCAGAGATCCTGGACCCAAAGACAGGTAACACACACACACACACACACACACTGTGCCCGTATCCCTCCACTCGTTCTTTCTGCTTGTTTTCTCATGGCTGTTGTGTGTCGCAGGTATTCCACGGACCCCCCACCCATCTGAGCTCTCCCCATATTACCCCCTCTCTCCGGGGGCCGTGGGCCAGATCCCCCATCCTCTGGGCTGGCTCGTCCCACAGTGAGTAAAACACACACACAGAGCAGAACTCAGTACATTAGACTTCACATCTAGTGAGCATGTACATGGAAAGTACCATCCCATACACTCTGCTCTCTCATTTCTTCTTTTGTCTTTTTTCTGTTCTTTGTTTCTCTCTCTTTCCTTCTTCCTTTCTCTTTCTCTGTCTTTTAAATAGCTAGATTGGTTTAATCGCATTAAGTTAGTGTTGCCAAATCATTCAAATCTGTTTCATACAGAAGTTAATCAGGCAACAGGCACACACACAGACAAAACCGCACACAGTTTAATGCTATTTATTTATGTGTGGTATTTATACATGTGGTAAGCACATTATTTAAAATTCTTTGTTGGCAGTAAGTAAATTTTTGCTTATAAAAACACTGCGGATCATTAGAATAAATGCAAAGAAATATACATACAGTAAAAAATAACTTATTTTCTGTTGTGAGCTGGTTGCAGGAACAAATTTTGGTTCCTGATTTTTTTTTTTTTATTATTATTATTATTTATTAATTTTTTTTAACCATTGCATATATTCATTAAATGCCATCATCAGCCCATGTAATTTAACATACTGACGCATTTATTAGCCAAAAGTATTGGATGATGACTACAAGTAATACTGGGCTTCTATGAGAAGAGGTTTGGAAATGATTAAACAAACATATTGACATCTTCTAATCTTCTTCTAGTCTTCTAATATTAAAGTTTTTCTTAGCAAATAAATGTTAAAAGCTTTTTTTTTTTAAATCTTATTTTCTTGCCTAAAATTATTATATTCTCTCTCTGTCTCTCAGGCAAGGGCAGCCCATGTACTCCATTCCTCCGGGAGGTTTTCGACACCCTTACCCAGCGCTTGCTATGAACGCCTCCATGTCCAGGTATGTGTGTCACTTATTTATCTTTTACAGGTCCTCCTGGTGATGAGGGGGTGCAGCTCTCCAAGACTCTGATTTTACCTTCAGAGTTCAATACACTTACCTCGATTTTAGTGCACACGAACACACACACCACACACAAGCAGAGATGAAAGGCTGCTGATTTGATCTCCGAGCCTGACGGCTCCCACCTGATCTCTCATTCTCTGCTGGATTAAACAAGTTAGAGATTTGCGCTCGAATGCTTGCACATACACGTGCATGAATGTGTGATATGAAATATTCATAGTGCGAGTTCAATGGAATCATTGCAGTCTCCCTTCAGCTCATATAAAATGTTTGTTTTTTCTTTAAGGACGATCTGGAGAGTTGTAGGAACTTACTACATTTATGAGAGAAGAGGTTTTTGATGCTCTCCATCTTCAGCACTTTCGCTGTTACTGTATTAGTCATAGCGTATGAGTAGTCAAACTCTTAAGTGCTTGCGGCCAAGTCGTTCTGAACTGCTGACCCCTCACACGGGCCGACAGTGTGTTCTGAGCTGTGCTACACATGTTCTCAGGTCAGGAACTTCTGTCTGCAACTGGTGCACTGCTGTATGAATTAATTTAATTAATTTAGCTCAAAAGAGACACAACCATTAATATTAAAGATGGCAAAATACCATTTGAGTATCAGATAATGAGCGGTTTTTAATTAAAGCGCTTCACTTGGTCATACTGAAACTGCTCAAACAAGCTTCTACCCCACAGGAGGAGGTACAGCTAACAGTGCGAGAGTGTGATCTTCCAGGATTGGATTTGATTCTTTCCTTTTTCCGATACTGATATGCCATCAGTATTTGATATTAATTTTTTGAACAGTAATTCTTATTGCACACTTATTGCTCACATGAACCTGACAAGCATGGTACCAGCCCCAAAAAATACCCTGTTGGTGAGCATCATTTAATCAATTTCAGTGTGCAGAACACAGCATTGTATACATGATGCACAGCGCTGCCTTTCTTGTTGGATGCATAGTGTTTTTGTCTGAGAACTCATTTGAGCACAGTTAATCTCTGTAAGGGCTTGAAGTAACTGTAAAACACTACTAATGTGACTTATATTCCTGTTCATGTGTTTTCTTATTCAGAAAGAACAACACAAAACTGAATAAAAACTCTGCTTTGTCAGATCATGTATTTATAATGCATATTAAATATCACATTTTTATCATTTTCTTTACATATTAACTACCGCAATTTTAACAGACAAGAGTTGGGAAATTGGCAGAAATAGACAAATTTTGGTGTGAACCTTAAACGGTTGAGTCCATTTTTATTGTTTGGCTGTTACTTTTTTTTTTTACTTTATTAGTCATCAAAACAATCAGCCGATTTCTCGATTACACATATAATCAGTAGTGACGGCCTCAGGCGCAGTGGGTAATGTGGGCATTTGAGGAGGACTAAGTTTAACCAAAGAAAAAGAGAGACAGTGGTGAAGGAAGGGGTGAGGAGTGAAAGGAAAGAGGGAGGGAGGGGAAAGATGGATGGGAAAGCATAGGGAAAATGGAATAAGAGGAGAAAAAGAGAGGGGGGTGAGTCGGGGGGACTACGGTCTCATTCTTTCCGCTGCTGAATGATGATAATGCTCCATTGTGCTCCGCTGCAAACCCACACAGTGCTGCTATCTGAAAGGTGTCCCATTCAGGCCACTGTAGGAAGTGGTTTCCGTGGTTTTTGGAAAGGTGTGCGCGTGTGTGCTTGTGTGGAAAGAGTGGTCTCAGGTGTCGTGTTCTCCTTGGTTTCCACGGTAACTGCACACTCCGCTCTTTGCCTGTAGAAGGGCTCATAATGGTGCCTTTGAGAGCGTCTTTATTTGGGCTACATGTGAAATATGAATGAAAAGGTGTACGCAGTAAGTGTGCGTTTTTAAGTCTAGACACATCATTAAGAGCCTCACACAGAAAGCCTGTGTTCCAGAACACAGTTCCAGACTGAGGGAGACCAGAGTTGGAGAGAAAGAAAGAAAAAGATGGAAAGAGAGAGAGAGCGAAAGTATATAGTATGTTTAGATGGTGGCTTTCAGGTTAGACACAGCGAGTGTCTGATACCTGTAAAACTTTTCCTAAATATTTTTTTTTGCTACCTTTTTCCTTCTTTCTCTCTCTCTTTTCATTTTCCTGTCTTTCTCTCTTTTTCCTGTCTTAATCTGTTTTTTATCTTTATTTTTCCTTCTGTTTTCTTTTATTATTTATGGTTCTCTCACTGTCTTTGGGTGCTTTTTTGCTTATCGTCTCTTTTTCCTTTGTTTTTTCCCTCCTGCAGTCTGGTGTCCAGTCGTTTTTCTCCTCACATGGTGCCTCATCATCCTCACAGTCTTCATCAGACAGGAATCCCTCACCCTGCTATCGTCTCACCAGCCATCAAACAGGAGCCCAACGGAGACCTCAGTCCCGCTGCACACACGTGAGTGCATGTGTTAAATTATGTACATTTTGATTGGGTGCCGAATTCATAGAAATGTAATCTTAAGTTTTTTCTCAATTTTGTCCTTGATTTTTCATCTAAGAACAATTCAAAGAACGTGATATGCTTCGGGAAAAATGCTTCTAAGCATTTCCTCAATTTTAGGTTAGCCTCTCACTTGTTTTAGCCTGTGAGTTGGCAAGGTAAGCGTCTCTAAAACTGACGACTAATGAGAGTCACAGAATATGATCATGTGGCTAAAGAGGAAAGGCCTTTCCCAACTAATTCAATCATGTATCTAGCAGACCTTTTAACAAATGTGCTGCACGGAAGATGCAGAGATCCTTACTGCTTCCTGTAAGGTCATAAATAATGGTTGCACTGAAATTAAGCTGTTACATGTAACATGATATCAGCAGAATACATGACAAAAAACATGTTGCCTAGATAAAGTAATGATGTTATTAAGAAAAAATAGAGAATATGTGAGAACAGCGCAAGAATTGCATTTAAGAACATTCTTGTGACCTTAGTGTTTGTCTTGTCTTCATTTATCAGTTTTTTTTTTTCCTTCTTTCTTTCTTATGAAAGCTTTTTTGAATCTGTCCCCAGATTTCTTTTGCTTTGCACTGCCTTGTTGATATATTGTGGTTGGCCAAAATATCAACAGTAAATGATCTTTATTAGTTCTGGGCCAGCCTTTATGCTTTTAGCTTAGTTTTCTGTTTTTCTGTGTCATTTTGACCACCTTTGTAACAGAACCATTTTCCCCTCACCTTATCAGTGTTGTGTCTACCAACTTGCTGAACACACACACACACAGTGACACATCTGACTTTTGGAGCAGGAAGTCTCCCGGGCCGGCTAAGAAGGATGAGGAGAAGAAGCCTCACATTAAGAAGCCCCTGAACGCCTTCATGCTATATATGAAGGAGATGAGGGCTAAAGTGGTGGCTGAGTGCACGCTCAAAGAGAGCGCCGCCATCAACCAGATCCTGGGCAGGAGGGTGAGTGTGTGAGCGAGAGAGGCGGAGAGCGCGAGTGAGTGAGTTTGTGTGTCACCCTGGCCTAACTGAGTTGTGTGTGTTTGCAGTGGCACTCTCTGTCTCGAGAGGAGCAGGCCAAATACTACGAGCTGGCCAGGAAAGAGCGGCAGCTGCACTCACAGCTCTACCCCGGCTGGTCCGCACGAGATAACTATGTAAGTCCAACACTTCAGGAGCTGACGGGCAATAACAAGCACTCATTCACACTCACAAATACAAAACATTGCCTCTCATTAATGTCTGAAATTATACTTTCTTGTTCATGACGTCTTCATGTTCACTGATTGTTTTATCTCTCTCTCTCTCTCTCTCTCTCTCTCTCTCTCTCTCTCGCTCTCTCTCTCTCTCTCTCTCTCTCTCTCTAGGGCAAGCGGAAGAAGAGGAAGAGAGATAATAAAGCAGACTCAACAGCAGAGGGTGAGGGGGCCGTTTCACTCATTCTTTCTGGAGACGAGCTGGTTTCCTTTGCAGAGACACACACACATACACAAAAGTAGCTTTTCAATGGGACTGTTTACATAAACTGTCCATTAGGCCTAATCTGTGAAATTGCTCAGAACCTTCAGGATATTTGCAGATGTATGTTTCAGGGCTGTCACTGTGATTTATGTAATTATTTTCCGATTACTTTGGTGATTTAATCAAGTAATTGGAGTTGTTAAAGGCCAAACAATAAAAAAAAAGACTTAAAAGATTAATAACATATAGATATACTATAGTGGAGAAAGGTGTAATAGGAGGGCTTTTAAAAGAACATTTAAAAATTTAATAAATGAAAACACTAGTAAAAATGTCCGTCAGGTTCAGACATAGGAAAATGTAAAGGATCTATCATGCTTATTTGAAATAATAATTTGAGATAGTATGTAAACACTGTTAAAGTTGCAAAAACAGCTCGTTTTAAATTCATTCACATCATTTAGAGGCGCAGTAACAAAATCAGCCTGTTTTAATTCTAAACAATAATGAAAGGTTGGAAAATCTTTATGTAAAAAGTAATTATGACTGTTTTTAGCATGTAAACTCTAGTCAACTTGTTATTCAAGAAGGAATCTAGTCTTCGATTCTTTTTTTAATGGCTTTTGACAGCCCTGTTATGTATATTACATGTTTTATCTGAGAAGCCATTTTCACAGATGCGTTAGATTTGTTTGATCCACAGACAGTCAAACTCTTTCTCCGGTACACTAAAGCATTTCCTCCTACTATCTCTGCTGTGTTTAAAGCTCTAATCTGCATGAAGCTGTTTCTGTTTTACTCTTCTTCGCTTCATGTTTACTGTACCTGGTACATACAGAGTCAAAAGAAAGCATGTAGTCTCTCAGCACTAATGAAGGAGCTCGTTCTGCATGACTGTGTCCCGTACTAACCTGTCCCCTCCCTGCGCTCTGACACGCAGCCTATGAAGTGCAGTGCTAGCAAAGGCAGGTACGGCTAAACCACTCGCTTCACCTCCATCGGCTCCATCCTCAGGCTGTGCTGTCCTAGCTAGGACTACAGCGTCATCACCATTTCTGTTTACCATCATCAGCTTTAGGTGTGCTTACGCATGTTCAGCAGGACTAGACGTGGTTTCTTTGATTCAAACGTGGCTTCTTTTCATTTGGTGTCTCTGTTACTGTCTTTATTATCCTTATCAGGCAGTAGCAGGAGATTCACTCATTACACCTCACAGAGTTTTATTCATCTTCCTCTGTTGAACTTCATAGTCTCATGTCATTAATATGTGTATGAGCTGATCACGGCTTAAAAAGATGACTTGACCAATTTTACTCAAATGTAGTTGATCAGCCAAGACATGTTGGATATCTGAAGTTTGCATCTTCATTTTTGCACTGGAGCTGCAAAGCTAATGTAGCTAACAAGTATTATAATAGACTCGCTTTTGTGGTTTTCTTGTATGACGGTTATGTATAGAAATGAACAGAAGTACAGATGAAATTCATGCCTAAAGGTGGCAATTACTTGTGTTTTTAGCTATGAAATGTATGCGTAGATAACAATATGTCATACTTTATCAGGAACCATGTAAGTCTATTGGGATTTTAAACAAGCAGATATGATTGGAGGCAAGCGTGTGTTTGCAGTGTCCTACATCGTGCGTATTTGGATCTTTTACGTAGTAATTTATTTATTTATTTATTTGACTGACCAATCAGATCAAAAAGAAGGCAGAACTTCAGTTGCATAAGGAGGGAATAGGGGCTACAGTCACTGAGTACCTTAAATTGTAGGATTTCTTAAATTGAAATGGTTATAATAAACAAAAAGAAGCTTCTTTTTGTAAGTTTAGCTTGTTTTCACTAGCTGCAGCATGACTAAATAAAACATCACATTCCAAAAGAACCACGTCAGAGCTTTCTGCTTGTACAAATCAAAACAGTAGCTGTCTAGCACAGATGATTGATATTTACAACGTCAGCGAGACCTGCAGCCACAAGCAGTTTCCACAAATGCAGTGTGAACCACCAACACCTCTTAGGCATGAGGTTTGCCTGATGGTAATCAGTGGAGTATAGGCTTCTGTTACTCGTTGGCTCAAAGCAAAACTAAAGCAAACTTCAGACACTAAACATATCTTGCCTGTTGGACACATTTAGAGTGGTCATGAGGAAAAGTTACTTTTCTCCAAACTCTAATATCCCTATTAAATGTACACATCTCCCCCTTTCCTTTGCTCTAGATTTCTCAGCACGGAACAAGAAGCCGTGTGTGCAGTACCTTCCTCAGGAGAAGATGATTGACAGCCCGGCCTCATCTCACGGCAGCATGCTGGACTCCCCGGCCACGCCCTCCGCCGCTCTGGCCTCACCCGCCGCCCCGGCACCAACACACTCCGAGCAGGCCCAGCCGCTGTCCCTCACCACCAAACCTGAGCGCCATCACTCTCACTTCTCTCTGATCTCCAAACCCTCTGCAGCATCCTCATCTTCATCTTCATCATCCTCCTCCTCCTCTTCGTCTTCAGCATCCTCCTCTTCTCACCCAAGCATCTCTCTTCCCATTGGTTCCTCAGGCAGTCAGTCGACCCCGCCCCTTCTCTCTCGGCCAATCCCTTTCACCTCTCTGCACCCCTCCCTCCTGTCCCCACCCTCTCCGTTCCACCAGGCCGCCCTTCACTCCCATCATGCCCTGTTCCAGTCGCAGCCTCTCTCCCTGGTAACCAAATCGGCCGACTGAGCCCGCGGAAAAGCGAATTATCTCCCGTTTCTCGCTGTCCTTTTAAAACATGCTGTACATTGCTTTTTACCTTTTTTTTTCAAATAGATGTCAGGTTAACTTTTTTGATAAGTGAAAAGGAAATGAATATTATTGGTCAATATTTGATCACCTGCTTTTTCTGTGTCTCTCTATGAAACAGTGTATTTTTTTGTAAAGTCTACTTTGGAACTGGTTTCTTATTTGATACAGTTATCCAGCAAACTACTTGTATAAAGTATACATGTATTGAAAACTTCTTTATTAAGATAAGAAGGAACAAAAAAAAATTCTTAAAGCTTACATGTAATTAATGGTAGTTTTGAATTTTAATTCATAGTACAAGCAATTTATTAGAATCCTTTGCAACTACCCCTCCAGTTTTGAAGTGTGTGAACTTGATAAATAAAACTTGTAAATTGTTTCTAGAATATGGATGCTTGTTCTTTTCGCCTTCAGTTTTCAGTACTTGTAGCGTACTTTGAGTGGAGTATTGATGGTCATCACACATCTACAGCATTAATAAGAGCGGTACACTGTGGGTTTAAGAAGGAATTATTATTGATTTTTCAACGTCTGCGTTATTAAATCACCAATAAGTGGGCAGTTCTAGAGAAACCTGCAGAAATGTTCACAGTGGTGGTGATGGGAACCAGACGTTCAAGGGGTGTAATGTCTCTGAAGGCTAGATCATAGACAGTTATTACAAAGTGGTTATGAATTCACCGCCTGATGCTTAAGAAACTGTTTTACTATAGTTTTGTGAGAAAGATTTGTTTCACAACCTTTTTTTTTCTTTCTTAAATCAACTCATTGTGAAGAGGTTCACGCAGGACGTTGTTGAGCAAAATGGTCCACTAAAGAAAAAACAGTTTTTTCAGATGTATCACTATTTCACCATTAACATTACATGTAACACTCAGCAGACACGTGTAGGTTCACTGGTGGTTTTGGATGGTGGTAAATAAAATTGTTGCTATATTTTCTGTGATGATCACAACCCTTGGTTCTTATCACCACCACTGTGAAGATGTTTCTCAATGATGAACCATCTACATCAAACCACTCTGATTGAGTGTCATTACAACTGAATTATGTAGAAAAGTTGAAAAATAGGTGGGTAGTATTTTAAAAGAACTACACTGAAAAAAATATCTTGGCAAGTAAAAGTGTCTTAAATGTAGTCAATTTCACATTTTTAGATTTTTATGGGTATTTTCCTTGTTTCAAGACAAACCTCAGCAGATAAACCACTGACAAGTAAAAACATCCGGAAATAGTTTGAATAAACTAATAAAATTCTTTAAACTATTATTAATCATTCAATATACTAGATTTATGTTGATTTCATTTGCCAATGTTTTTTTTCCCAGTAAAAAGGTGAAAAGCACATTTTGCTACAGTTCTATGAATTAGTTCTGGCTTACATTGGGCTCACTTCAAGGACCATTTCAGTCACAAAGACCAGCAGCACTGGAGTGGAAGAGAATTCTGAAAGCTGACGTTTAAAAATGTGTATTTGACAACCAGAAAATTTGTAAAAGTCGTTTTCTCTATATCTGCTTCTCTGAAGGCCTTTAAGTAACCTCAGACATCCAAGCTGAGTCTTTGTGAAGTAGCGTAAAAGCCAAGGGCCCCAAACTGGCCAGACGTCTGCAACCGAATTTATGATTCCTCTGATAGAGAGCTTGGCCACTGATTGGTGTTTGTTCTGAGGGCTGTTTCTTGTGTATTAGTCGGTAGTAAACAGTCCAGGTCAGGACTGTCACTTGACACTCTGCTTTCATTAAAAACTGTAACTTTCTGTAAACAGAGCCTGCATTTTATAAATATCTTGATATTTGAGAGGAATTAGATCTAAATCTTTAATAGTCTGAATTTAGGCAAACCACACTGGAAAATAAACAGCTGTGCCAGAGCAACAAAATTTACTGCCAAAAATAAACACAAATAAAAAAAATAATAGACATCTGTTCCTTCCTGGAATGCAAAGTCCCAAAACAACAGCAAAAGCAGGTCAGTCTCTGCTACTCACTCTCTCTCTCTCTCTCTCTCACCTCCCCTCCCACACACACACACACTGCATCTTTATTTGTGGCTTTGGCTCAGTGCTGCCGCTGTAATTAACTACGTGGTAATAGGATGGAGCTCGGGGGACCTCATTAGGCTTTTCAATTAATGAAAAACGCACAAGGTACGGTCCCTCGTTTTTAGGGGACTTTGGAGATCGGGAGTGGTGCCAAGGATGGTCCCAGCACCCCACTGGAAGAGACACGTTGATCTTGGTGACACTGCACTGGCCTGTCCTTTGTCCTGTGAGGCTTTGCGTCACTTTCAGGCCACTTCGGTGTGGCAGATGCGAGTTTTAGTCTTCATTCCAGGACGACCACATAACGTGTCCAAACTAGACATGCAGTGTTGGATCTTGTCTGTTTGTCAGTTAAGCCTTATGAAGTTGCAGCTCTCATTGGACGTGAAAAAGAAAAGCTTTTGAAAAAAAGAGATTAACCTTGTTTTGTGAAAAGAAAACCGTCCTTTACTTTGTTGATGTTTTTGCCATTTGACATCGAAAGAGAGGGAAACGAACTCGGCTAGGTTAGCCTCAGTGAGCTAATTAACCAGCCACGCAAACTTTGCAATGCAGGATGTTTCTGAGAAGTTTAAACTCATCTGTACATTTTATGAATATTTTTTCCTGTTTGGTCATGAGCCTTGCTTTATAACTGTAGTGCATAGCCTTTATTTTTTGTTATTGCTACCGGTGTAGCCTGTAGCTTGCTACTTAGCTGGCTAGCAGAGTTAAGATTAGATATAAATTAGTCCACTTGTGTAAGGAAGCGGAAAAAAGTGAAACATTTTTTAGAAGAGCTCAAAAAATGGGACTCCTAACAACGACCTGCAAGACCTGGTAGACCACCAAAACTGCCCCCATCAGATAAACAGCACTTAAAGCTTTCATCTTTGAGAGAGAGGAGAAAATCAAGCTGCCTCAGATCTGAAAACATCAGATCAAGACAACTCAGCGCTTTGGGTCTGAAAGGATGTGTAGCTGTTCAAGAAGCCCTCACTGAGCAAAGGAAACAGACAAAAAAGAAGAACATTTGTACATCAATCAAAGAAGCTGCTGGTGTTCTCAGAACAGACCGGTCACTTCAGAGTCCGCTGGCCTGTAAGAAGAAGGAGATGCAACCAACTTCTGACACTGAACTTCTGTAGGTGTGGAAAAATATCCCTGCAGATTCCTTAGAGAAACTGAACGCGAGTCTCCTAAAAAAAAAAAAAAGAATGAAAGCTGTAGTAACGCCAGGGTGGACACACTCAAAGTGTTATTATATTCAGCTGTTGAGGTTTCTGTGCAATTTTCCGTAAAATATGTACTTCTGGCTCATATTTGTGATGCAACAGCAACTGTACTGAAATCCATATCATTCATATGGGCCTTTCCTTGCTGTGGATAATTAGACTGCTTTCTCGGTCACACTATCCATATGATTTGGGAGTGTATGTGAGTGGGACCAGACAGACAGGCTGACACACAGTGAGTGCTCATTTCCCTCTCTGCCCTGAGGTGAAGTACAAACCTGTCAGTCACACACACACATGCGGCTTGTGTTTTATTTTGCTCGGCAGTCATTAGGAAGGGCAGGAATATGCCTTGCATCATCCCGGGACGGGCTGCTCTCTCTGGGGCTTCGCTGGTGTCTGCGAGTGCCCTGAGCTCCACATCCAGATCCATCACCCAAATTAAAGCTAATGAGTTGTCAGAGACGGGCTGGAGAAAGGCTAGGGTGCCGAAACACTGGGCTGTTCTCCATACAGCACAACACGCACACTCTCAGAGCAGGAGAAAGTGTGTCTGAGTGACTTTAATATGCTGGCTGTGTTGAAGAGGCTGGCTGGAGAGAGGCCTAGCTCTGATTATTTTCCCCTGGCCTGTTTTCCCGGCGTCTCCATTTCTTTGAGAGAGTTGCTAGTTAGCCCCTCAGCTGCTGCAGGCTAGTCCTGCATTCACACTCAGCCTTATTAGCCCGCACTCACATTTCACTCTTCTTCGGCCTTTATTACCACACCTCCGGGCCAGTCTTCACCCTCAGCAGTGCTGAAATGCATGACACCTGTATTACGTTCCACTTATAAAATGATCGCCTGCATTTTCAGGAACTTTTTCGGCAACTTGCAATTGATTTATGAATCAATAGACAGTGGCTTCGCCGCACAACTGGCCCTTTTTGCCCAACTAGGGTCGAATGGTTTTTCATGTGATATTTAATCACATGTTCTTTGTCTGCTGTAAAGGAACAACATTGGCACTTGAACACATTTACCTCTCTGTCTCCCCACACTTGAAATGCAGTTGACACGATATAAAACATTGTTCACTAATGTCACGATAGCAAACTATTACATGTTGAATTAACATTTAATAAACTGGTTTTGTAACGTTAAATGTAAGTCAATGACTGCCACTGTATTGTTATCATTACTAAGGAACCATATTACTGCTGTTGGAAGAAAATCTTGACATTTTTCAGTTTTTAACATACTTTGAAAACGCCTGTTGTCCTTTACATTGTGTGTAGAGTTCATGATGAACGGACCAAAAGAAACGGCCCAGAATTACTTGGAAAAACCGTCTGGTTCCATTTACTTACATTGATAGTAGCAGAAGTAGGTTTTTTCCTTCTCCTGTAAAGTCATTTTGGAGATACGAGGTTTTCTTCCGATAACAGCGACATGTTCTAGTAAACTGGGCATTAAACAGCTACAGCAGCCACCAATTATTTACCTTAAGACAGCTTGAATATAAAAGCGGGAACAACTAAAACAACGTTAACGTTAAGTAAGTCTTTAGATAATAACGTTATCAAAACTGCGCAGTGTTCGCTAAAATAAAACAGCTTTAATTAACCTAATACAAGCAATATTTCATAGCAGACTAAACTAATCAGTGAACATGAAGATGGTTAAATCATAATTATCCTTGCAAAACAAATTAGATTTACCGCCATGACGTCTATCAAATTCTTTGTTATCTACACCTCAAACTCCCAGGGAGACAGATGATGGGGTGGGGCTAAACTGTGGCATGCCCGAAATGGGTGGAGCTGGATGTGCTGGATGTCTGGCTCCGCCTTCCCGCAGACTGCAGTCAAATGCTTCTTTAGTGGCAACCTTTGTTTTGTTAAACTGTAATTATTTGCATGATAAATTATGTAATGACGTTTGTTTCATGTCTGACCAAAAACATGGTAAAAAAGGATGTTTTCTCACAAAACGTGAAGTGCATCAAATTCATCAAATTCAAGTCAGGATAAAATATCAATTCTTACACTTATGAATTCAATCAGACCTCCTTTTGTCGTCATTCTGCAGTTGGCGTCAGGTTTACATTAGGAACTCCGGTCTAAGCAGTTTTTCTGAA